CTTTGCAGACGACATCGGACTCTGTGCCAAGACACCAGAAGAAACCCAACGGATGCTAGAAGACCTCGACCGAGTCAGCAAGAAGATTGGCCTCGAGATGAACAAGAAAAAGACTCAGAGCATGAGGAACGCATGGTGCCCACCTGGAGAGATCAAGCTGGAAGGTCAACTACTAGAAGAAGTCACCTCCTACACCTACCTCGAAAGAAGCATCAACATGGAGGGAGACCTAAGACCAGAAGTCGCCAGAAGAAGACGAGCTGCCTGGACAGCACTAGGAAGCATCAAAAAAGTCACAAAGATGTTCAAGAATCACCAGAGAACTCGGGCACACCTCTTTGACAGCACCGTCCTCCCGGCACTCTGCTACGGGACAGAGACCTGGGCCACGACACAGTCCACTGAACGAGCCCTGAGAACGACGCATCGAGCCCTTGAAAGGAACCTCCTCGGGTACAATAGGAAGGCGTAGCTCGACCAAGACCTAAGAAGCACGGATATGCGCCAGCCCTCGGAACTCAGAGATCCAGTGGAAGTGATTGAGAGAAAAAGACTTAGATGGGCCGACCACGTAGCCAAAAGAACAGACGACAGATGGACGATACGGATCACAGAGTGGCTACCACGAGACCAGAAGAGGCCCATCGGAAGACCAGCAACGTGGTGGAGCACAAGAGTGGCAGAGACGGTCAGAAAAAGGATGGCTAGAGTGGAACCACCACCAGCACCAGCAAGTCGAAGACTTCGAACCAGGAACAATCAAGCTAGGAAACACTGGATGACAATAGCAAGGGATAGAGAAATGTGGAAGCAGGTTGTGAGCTGCGCAAATAGGAACACTTGAATGCGAAGACAGATCAAAAAAATATGTGCCGATTTTGAGCTAAAGTTAAGCCAAGTCATAGAGCTTTTTCAAGGCTAAAACCCAAAAAAAATGGTCGACCTTTCCCTTAAATCCCAAAGTCACTCCGTATCAATGTAAAAACGGAAGGTATCATCAAGAAAAAAAAAAGGTAAAAGAAGAAAAAGAAAAATGTCATTCAAGGTTAGAAAAAAAAGTGATATGTGGAGATTTTCGAGATTTTCGTTCGGGTTTATTAAAAAAATTTTCGCGAAAAAGCGCGCGATATCCACAAATGGGTGGAATCATGGAGAATTTATCAAAAAAAAAGTTTGGATCATGAAATTTCTTCGCTGATTGATGAGATTTTATGGAAATTTTTGTAAAAAAAAGCTTTCATTATGGGATTTCTTTAGTGGCTGATGAGATTTTAGGGTAAAGATGCACAAAAATTCTTGTCTTTTCTAGGAAAAAGGGATAGGAAATGCAGTAAAACTGCGAAAAAATGAGGGAAAGCTGGGAAATCTCAAAGAATTTCTTTGAAACGCGAATCTCTGCTTGAAATCTTTGAAGATCGCTTGTCAATGCAGGTCAAAAAAAAAGGGAAAACTGAAAAAAGGTGAGTGAGTTGGCTGGAGGGGAATTCGTGGATTTTCATCGGGAATTCTTTGGGCTAAAACTTTTTTTTTTTCTAAACGTCAATCCGATAGGGAATTTATGCCGAATACTTGTCGAAGCTGCCTACAAAAATCATCGTCAGTTTCAAGACGTATATTTGTACCTAAAACAGCGATTCGTTTGGCTTGAAGCTATCTCGACGTCTTTGATTTTCAAAACCTCATCAATTTAATGCCAGACCGCATTTTTCAAGTGATTGATCGTTCTGGTGCGTGTACAGATTGCTAGTTTTGATTTTTTTACCTTTGATTGTTAATTTGTGTCGATAAATAAGAATATTTTTAGTGTCACGAGAAGAATAAAGAATCGTTTACGACTTTTAAGCAAAAAGTACGGATAGCTTTATGTATCAAAATGATTTTCGATTATTTGCGCAAGTGTTCATAAGCAGAATTCGCAAAGGAAAACTTATTTTTTTAAAAAGAAATGAGATCTCAAAGTTGTTGTAGATTCTCGTGACTGTTGTAAGGTGATTGACTTGCTGATGGAAAAACAGTTAGTGTTTATTTAGAGTAATGAAGACGAATAAAAGAATCACAATTGATCTAAGGTAAATGTTACGTCCGTTATTGAATCTATTCAATAACGGACGTCCGCTTTTGAATCGTTCAACCTACGATCTTCTTTTTATAATGATCTGTTTTTGTGAGTTAGCAAGTATAATTTCAATTTCTATTCATAAAACTTTAAATTCATAGTTTGAATCCTAGCTAAAGTTCCGCATTTCTTCTTTTCTTTATTAAAATTTTTATAAGTTGTGTTTGCTATGTTTGTTATGTTTATTTTCGATCATTTACATTTTCAAACGTTTGTTATCAATAAATTTTGAAGTTTGATGATGAATGCTTAATAAACTAAAGAAAAAAAATAATGCATTAGTTTCGAGGATCTAGTAGTAACGTTTGGAAATTGTAGAAATATAGGTTGAAAACGGATGTCCGATTCAGAACCGGACGACCGTTATTGAGTAGATTTAATAAAAGACATAACATATATAACGCCGTTCTTCTGCCCGTTTGTTTGTCCGAGGCTTTTCTTTTTCTTTGGGGAAATGAGCTAGGGGGGCTGAAAACTCAAAAACTCTTATTTTAGGGTAAAAAAAAATTCGGTGATTCCGAGTCTAAAGTCTTTTTGTAAAAAAAAGCGTCATTTCCCGGCGAGTTATGCGACTTTAAAATTTACAACGGCCGACCAATTCGCTTTTCACGCCAAATATGCATTTAAGAGGAGCCTAATGCATATTTTAGCAAAGCAGATGGTTCGCATACAAAAACATAGAAAAAAACAAACGAAAAAACAAACGAACAAACAAACAAACAAACAAACAAACAAAACAAACAAACAAACAAATAAACAAACAAACAAACAAATAAATAAACAAACAAACAAGCAAACAAACAAACAAACAAACAAACAAACAAACAAACAAACAAATAAACAAACAAACAAGCAAACAAACAAACAAACAAATAAATAAACAAACAAACAAGCAAACAAACAAACAAACAAACAAATAAACAAACAAACAAATAAACAAACAAACAAACAAACAAACAAATAAACAAACAAACAAACAAACAAATAAACAAACAAACAAGCAAACAAACAAACAAACAAACAAACAAACAAACAAACAAACAAACAAACAAACAAACAAGCAAACAAACAAACAATGCGAAAATAAAATAAAATGGCACAGACTACAGTGCGTTCCTAGTGACAACCTAGACAGACGCAAAAGGTGCATTTTAGAAAACGACAATTTTGTGGCAAGTATAAAAGGCTCTTCTCAACAAAAGTACCTTCAGTATTCATCAAAAAAGAAACACCGTAATGATCGATCAATATATTAAACTTACAATAATACAATTAAACTTTCTTTACAATAAGTATATGTGGCGATCTCTGTTTTGAGCTAAAGCTAAGCCAAGTCATGGACCTTTTTGAAGTCTAAAAACCAAAAAATGGTCAATTAAATCCCAAAGTCACTCTGTATCAATGTAAAACAGGAAGGTATCATCAAGAAAAAAAAAAAAAAAGGTAAAAGAAGAAAAAGAAAAATGTCATTCAAGGTTAGAAAAAAAAGTGATATGCGGAAGAGATTTTCGCTCGGTTTTAATGAAAAATTTTCGCGAAAAAGCGCGCCATATCCACAAATGGGTGGAATTATGGAAAATTTAGCAAAAAAAAAAGTTTGGATCACGAAATTTCTTCACTGATTGATGAGATTTTATGGAAAGAGTTTTGTAAAAGAAAAAAAAGCTTTCATTATGGGATTTCTTTAGTGATTGATGAGATTTTATGGTAAAGATGCACGAAAATTCTTGTCTTTTCTAGGAAAAAGGGATAGGAAATGCAGTAAAACTGCGAAAAAATGAGGGAAAGCTGGGAAATCTCAAAGAATTTCTTTGAAACGCGAATCTCTGCTTAAAATCTTTGAAGATCGCTTGTCAATGCAGGTCAAAAAAAGGGAAAACTGAAAAAAGGTGAGTGAGTTGGCTGGAGGGAAATTGGTGGATTTTCATCGGGGATTCTTTGAGCTAAACTCTTTTTCTAAACGCATCCCTTCTATCGCATTGGATTCGTTAGTTTTTTGTAGATTTCTGTGCACTAGAAAGTGTTTGTTTAGCTATTTTTTTTAGTACAATGTAAACTGAGAAAAATTCTTTATAATAACCACAAAAAACTGCATTTTTTGAAACTCAAAACGTTTAAATCAAAGATTTTTTGCTTTTTAGCTGATGATTGAACAGAAATTAGTTCAAAAAAGTTGATTGATGAAAGCGTTTCACTATTTCTTTCCTTCCTCATTGTCTGGTTCCTCGTTTCTTTTGAATCAAAGTAGATAAGATTTGAGAGAAAACTTTCGATCCGAACATTTATTGGTTGAGAAATTGATGGCTAAAAGTGTTTTTGCTTTGATCGAAGATGTCATTGACAAGGAATTACTCTCAAAAGAGTTCACAAGAATCTAAAAAAGATAAAAGGACTTAAAAAGAAGTAAAAAGACTTAAAAAGAATAAAAAAGAGTTAAAAAGAGCCAAAAAGAGCCAAAAAGAATTTAAAAAAGCTAAAAAGAACCAAAAAAACCCAAAAAAGAATTAAAAAGAGCTAAAAAGATCCAAGAAAACTAAAAAAGAGCTAAAAAGAACCAAAAAAAACCCAAAAAAGAATCAAAAAGATCCAAAAAAACTCAAAAAGAATAAAAAGAACCAAAAAGAACCAAAGAAAAACTCAAAAAGTACCAAAAAAAACCCAAAAAATCGAAAAAGAACAAGTCTCAATTGACAAAAAAACCAATTTCCTCCAGAAAACAAAGCTTTAAGTGCCCCAAAAATCTTGTGTTTACAATTTTCTGAATCCAAATTTCAGAATTAGATTCTCAGTGATTCTCAGTGATCAAGGGAAAACATGAAAAAGAAAAAAACTTCATTTCAATGCAAAACAAAAAAAAGAAATGTCTTTATTTTTTCGCATCTCATTGTGCTTGGCATGCCTAAAGTTGTCAAAAATCGTCAATAATAATTTCAATAATCGTCAATATCAATGTCAAATAATCGAAGCCAATTACCTTATCGATATCTTGTACAACGAATTGATCCATTATTCCGCGAACAGTCGCCAAGGGACACAAAGCTTTCCCAGCACATCCTTGAATCGAACTTGTCACCGTTTTCAGCGCTTCTTCAGCCGTGTTTGCGTAGAGGAGCTGAAAAGAGGTGGAAATTGGAAACGAACTTCTTCTATCTACAAACTACAAATGCAAAACTACAAACTACAAACGCAAAACTACAAACTACAAACGTAAACTATAAACGTAAACTACAAACGTAAACTAAAAACGCTTCTAACTTTCTTTAAATCTACCGGATTGATATGATCTATAGCTGAAAAAATCGAGTATTTCAAGAGCTTTCGAATCGACTAAACAGCACTCAAAAATACCAATGCTAAAGAAAGTTACAGTGACTCGATCGCTTTGACTACGCGCGAGTACGGTCCGTTCCGAGTCAGGCTACAAACCACTGTAACTTTCTCTAGAATTCATCTTTTTCAGTTCATTCGAAAGCTCTTGAAATTCTCGATTTTTTAAGCTATAGATCATATCAATCCGGTCAATTTACAACAAGTTAGAAGCGTTTTTGGTGTGACAGTTCGTCATTTTTGTAGTTTATAGTGGGCCTTAATTGACTTTTGACTCGTTTGAGTAGTTCTTTAAACTAAAGTCAGGCCTGATCTTGACAAGAAATGTTGCCAGTCTTGGGCCTGAAAGACAGCCAGCGGTCCAGGCCTAGTCAATGGTTTTCTTGTAAACCCAAGCCATGATCTAGTTTTCTATTCCAAACCTTTATCGCCAACGATCCATCATCCATTTTCCACAACTCAAATATCAACGTGGCTGCATAACCGGGTTGTCCAGCACCGATCACATCCATTTTTGCCGTTACTCCCAACGCGTAAAGAGTCGCGGAAATCGTTGAATCGTGCTAGATGGATAAATAGATGAAGAAGTTATAAAATCTATGTAAAAATCAAATAATTGCGTTCTGTAATGGCATACAAAACCAATACAGCCTTTTCAGCACTCACCACAGAATACGCGTACAACTTTTCATCGGTATAGGCTCGGAAAAGCCCGGTGAGCGTTTTGATGAGAACGCCAGCTCTCAAGCGGATCAATTCCGGGTTTTGCAGGGCTTGGAGTATTGCTGAAAAGGCTTTTCCAAAGGAATTTATTGTTTATTTACCCATTCCAGCGGTGTAATCGATGATCGTCGATCGAATCGATATCGTGTCATTGTAGAGTTGAGGAGTCACAAAGGAGGGAAGAGTGAGGCCATGAGCGTTCTGTAATGGGGAATACACAATAGAACAATTACAACTATAGATAAGTTTGGCATTGGAAATCAGGCTAGGATCAGGTCAACTCAAGCTCTGGAGTCAGTAGGTCGAACTAGACTGGCCTGGCTTGGCAATTTTGGCTTTGAGAGCTCTCAAATCAGGCTAGGATCAGGTCAAGTTAAGCTCTGGAGTCAGTAGGTCGGACTAGACTGGCCTGGCTTGGCAATTTTGGCTTTGAGAGCTCTCAAATCAAGCTAGAATCAGACCAAGTCAAGCTCTGGAGTCAGTAGGTCGGACTAGACTCGCCTGGCTTGACAATTTTGGCTTCGAGAGCTCTCAAAGCTCTCAAAGCTCAAAGCTCAAAGCTCAAAGCTTTAAGAGCTGTTTCTAGAGCTCAAACTTGGTGATCTTTTCTGGCACTTCCAACCTCACAAACAAGTGTTCCAGCGTACTGAATGATATCCCACCATTTCGTCCACGGTTCACCAGTGCCTTTAGCAAAAGCTTGAACGATATCCTAAATTGATCAGACGTATAAAAGAGCTATCGTAATTGAACTAAATCTAGAAATCCTATAGCTTACAATATGTTGCTGTTCGTAGTTTAAATACTCAGGTCTTGCTAGTCGTTCATTTTCGATTTGTTTCGCTCTAGCGCACGGAGCATCGGGCTCAAATTCCTGAAATCAGCTTTTAAAGGTTTACTAGCAAAAAAATCATAAAAAATCCTTACATGATCTGGATCAGTATTTGTGTGAATTGGTAGAGGAGTCCAGTTTTTTGGCCATCCCTAAGCCTTTGTTTGCATACTAATAGAAACGTTTACTGTATCAAATCGTAAGTGAGCTTTATTTCTATTCACTTACTCCTCCTTGTGGATGAAATTAGAGAAACGTTTACTGTATCGAATTGTAATTTCGCCATATTTCTATTCACTTACTCCTCCTTGTGGATGAAATTTCGAGTCACTGTAGAAACCGGCAAAGTCAGCAGCCGCTGATTGTAGACAACGGTCGTGAAGAGCCGATCGGATATGGATCTAGATTTTCGAAATTCTTTAGACTACCGTGCCAGAAGACGTGCGTTTACAAGAGCACAAAGCGACACGCACATCGTACGGTGAATAGGTGGCGTTCACCAATTTCAACTCGTCCACATAACGGGCTTTCAGCTTTAGGCCATTGATAAGATGCTGTTGCATTCCTTGCTAAATTTTTGATGATTTTAGAGATACTGTAGCTCGTCTTACTGTAGTTGTTTTACTGTAATTACTGTCGTTAGTTACTCGTCTTGTCTTATTTTTGTACTGTAAGCCTACAGTAAAATATAGTAAAACTAAAAGATCTAATTGAAGAAATTGAAAGAACTGACTTGATGAAATTGTTTTTGAAAAAGTGCCCTTAGGAAAAAGCTACCGCAATCTCAGTACACAGTACTGTAAGATAGTGGGCCCGGGCTACGGTAGCTCTACAGATTTTCCCGGGCTACTGTAGCTCTACAGGTTTACCCGGGTTACGTTAGCTCTATAGAATTACCCGGGCTACGGTAGCTCTACAGAATCACCCGGGTTACGGTAGCTCTACAAATTTACCCGGGCTACGGTAGCTCTACAGATTTGCCCGGACTACGGTAGCTCTACAGATTTACCCGGGCTACTGTAGGTCTACAGATTTTCCCGGGTTACGGTAGCTCTATAGATTTACCCAGGCTACTGTAGCTCTACAGATTTACCCAGGCTACGGTAGCTCTACGGACTTATCCGGGTTACGGTAGTGGTTTGAGTTTGAGGCTCATTACCTTACAGTAACCACAGTATCTTACCGTAGTCAATGTTCCCCATGGCAATCCCCAAAATGACTCTTGATATGGATCTGACGGGACAGTCGTCACTGGAGTGCGATCACCATGACGAAAAAGCTGAAAAGTGGGGAATTCGTTGTGCCAGAAAGCGTGCTTTTACATTCAGATAAAAGTACACCGTACAAAGTACAAAAGTACACCGTACACAGTACAAAAGTACACTTGAGCTTTCCAAAATCAAACCCCACCACTTGAGCACTCAATATCGTCGGATCAGCATTGACAACATGACTCAAAAATATTGAAATCAGTAAATATTTCATTTTAAGATCTTTTCTAAGATCTAAAAGAAATTCTTGAGGTTCCCTTTCACGTAAAAATAATCCCCTTATCACTTCAACTTTTAGGCTCACTGGGGATTTTTAAAGACCCCCAATTTTTTTGAGAAGACTCGAGTTTGATGCACAGAATTTTCAAAAAATTTGAAATCTTTAGGAAAAAACAAAATTTTTTTATGTTTTAAAGATTGGTAATGTTACCGAAACCCAGTTAAACTCGTTAGTCAGACCGTGGAAGAGCTGCTGTAAGCCCTGTTATGCTCACGAGGGAACCACAGATACTCACCACCTCGGATCGCCTCTAAACTTTGTGCGGTGGTCAAACAGGACAAAACTAAAGTTCTCTGCAAAATCGAGCTGCTATCTAGCTGCGACGAAAATATAAAGCTTTTAAATTTTTAGTAAGAAATGCGAGGAAACCGCAAATACCTTCGAAAAGTATTTCTTGACGTTTTTCCGTCAGTTTTTCTTGGAATACTGTCGCCAACTGACTGTAAAATGCCTTTAAGCTAAAAAGAACGAGTACTTTGATAGCAATTTTAAGGTAAAGTTTTGAAATTGTTGACTTGGTTAAGCTAAATGGCTTGATGCTTTAATATCTTCAAAAAGTATTTCTTGGCGTTTTTCCGTCAGTTTTTGGAATACTGTAGCCAACTGACTGTAAAATGCATTTAAGCTAAAAAAGAACGAGTACTTAGGAATTTTAAGGCAAAGTTTTGAAATCGTTGCCTTGGTTAAGCTAAATGCTGTTGTAAACACCTTTTGCTCATTGGAAAAAGGAATTGTTTTGATCAATGGGTCCTAAATGAATTAAAACAAAGTCAATCGAGTTTCATTGTCTCAGATTCTATAGAAAAAGGCTACGGGCAGTGCTTTTTTTGAAAGTATGTTGGCGATGGACGAAAAGTGGATATATTTCAATAGACAACACGCAAAAGACAATGGTTGAGCAAAGGAGAACTTCCAATTTCGACACCACATCCAGAGCTTCACGGAAAGAAAGTTATGCTGTCAGTCTTTTGAAATATGAAAAGGAATCGTTTATTTTGAATTACGAAAATCTTCAACAACTATAACTTCCCAAATTTACGCCAAACAGCAATGCAGAAATGATGAGATTGTGATGTTTTGAAGATACAAGAACTGATGCGGTATTTGATTTTGATGCTTTAATATCTTCAAAAAGTATTTCTTGGCGTTTTTCCGTCAGTATTTCTTGGAATATTGTCGCCAACTGACTGTAAAATGCCTTTAAGCTAAAAAGAACGAGTACTTAGCAATTTTAAGGCAAAGTTTTCAAATCGTTGACTTGGTTAAGCTAAATTCTGTTGTAAATGAATAGAAAAAGTCAAAAGTATCTATTTTTTTTTCTTTTATTTTTCTCACTTTACTACTAAATTCTATGGCAAATGAAGTGTTTGAGGAAGAGATTTTTCGGTCGACAAAATCGGTTGACTCATCCCCGTGATGGTGATGTATCTCGTGCCAAAACAAATCACAAACAACTCTCATTTTCCCTCATTTCCGATACACTTATCTCCAAATTTCGACGAAAAATCGACTAGAAATTGCACTATGAAAGGTTTACTGTATTTTCTATGTCTTATAACTGTTTCAAGTTCATTGGACTGTCTCGAGGATGAAGCTGACGAGAGATTTTTGACCACTCACGTGAGTTTATGCTAAAGAATGCAAAGAAATAGCTTGAATAGCTTAAAATAGCTTAAAATAGCTTAAAACTTGAAATTTCCTTTAACACTATAAAGGTTTGGCCCACTTCAGTACCCCGGACGAATCTACAGACTCTTTTAAATCCTCTTAAACCTAAAGATCTAAAGATTTGTCTGACATTCTGTAGCAGAATCTACAGTCAAACTTCGATACAACAAACTGTAAGGACGATTGAATTTATCAAGGCACTTGCTTGAAAATCTCTTGCTTGAAAAGACACTTGCTTGAAAATCTTCCTTCGAAGTTTGCCAACTCTATCGCTTCGTTAACAAGGTAGCAAGACAAGTTGCTAACAAAACAAGTTAGCAAGCAAAACAAGTTGCTAACAAAACAAGTGCTAACAAAACAAGTTAGCAACAAAATGTTGGAAATACAACTAAAGAACATTAAAGTAATTAGTTCGGGTCTTCTTTCTAGTTTTTTTTGGGTCAAATTCCTGTCAAAGTTCCCTCAACACTTCGACTTTCCATTTTCGACATAATCCTAGTTGCTCTCGGCAGCTTTCCCTTTTAGAATTCGAAAAACAACTCCGTGACGTTTCTTGAATTTATCCAGCAAAACGCCACTCGCTTGAAAATCTCGAATTCCTTCCAAGCTTGCCAACTCTATCGGGATTGATTGCCCCGGGATTGATTGCTCCGGGATTGATTGCTCCGGGATTGATTGCTCCGGGATTGGTTGCTCCGGGTTACTCAACCTCTCTCGCACTTTTACTAAATCAAATCAAGTTAGCTCTATCAGCTCTATCAGCCTTTGTTCCCAATCCCTTCAAGCGTTTTATCGTCTTGTTCACAAGCCGCATAAAAATACCGAAATTTTGAGAAATTGCACGTGTCAAGCGCCCGTCAATGCAACGCTATGATCGAGTTTCAACAAACATTCTTGATCATCTCTAAAATCATCTTGATCTTGATCATCATCTTGATCTTGATCATCATCTTGATCTTGATCATCATCTTGACCTTGATCATCATCTTGATCTTGATCATCATCTTGATCTTGATCATCATCTTGATCTTGATCATCATCTTGATCTTGATCATCATCTTGATCTTGATCATCATCTTGGTCCTGATCACCATCTTGATCTTGATCATCATCTCTAAAACAACACTATATAATCTTAGAAATTATTCCAAATAACAAAGATAAACATGAAAAAAGTAAAAGATATAAAATAACAACATATAGGTGACATCAAATGGTCACAGATAAAGTTGTAGTTCTCATTTTACAGGCTCGAACGATCACTTGCAAGCCTGAATGCGATTTTTGTGCCACAATCACAAGAGAGGTGAGTTTAAGAAGAAAAATGGGAAGGAATTGCACTAAAAAAATCTTGTTTTCTAAAAGATTTGTATGCTATCGTACTTAAAACTGACTTTTTAATGGCACTGGAAGATGGGACATTTGGGTCCCCTTTCCCATTGGCAATCTAACTTTAAGCTCAAATTTCTTTGGGTTGAGCTGTTCAAATGAAATCATTTTTGTACCAATCGATAGAGAAAGATTTGGCGCATCTAATAATATCAATAATTTATAAATTGAACACCTCAACACCAAGATATTTGAACTTAAAGTTAGATGTCAATGGGAAATCTCTGATAATGATCGTTTGAGTTCTATAAAACTAAAATAAGACTTTTATTAGCTAATGGTATATAAAATTACAAGGTGCAGAGCATACTTTATTGAGAAAAATGTACCCAAATAATAAACAATACAAAACGCTCATTTATTTCCGGACAATCTAATAGAATTATAGATTTTCCTTAAAGTTATCCAGGATTTGTTGACAATCTATTAGTTTTTTCTTAGCTTGATAAGCTTGATAAGCTTTTTTTAATCGTTCTTCTTATTGCAATGACTTTTATAGTTCTTGGTGAATGGTGAGAAGCGGGAAAGAACGATGCGGAGTTGTGGATGTGAACCGATTCGATCAGCGAATGGACGAGTGACAAAATGCAAGGTATATTAGATTTATCTCATTTGTTTATCCCATTTGTCTCATCCATTTTACTCTCAAGCTTGTTCAGTTAAACAAACTTTATGTTTTTTTAAGTTCCTAGTGAACAAGATGCGACTTGAGGAGTTCACAGAGAAGAGGGAAAGAGCAAGAGTCGAGATGGCTTGTTGTAGAGGAGATCGGTCAGTGAAATTGAATCGATTTTAGGGAAAGTTTAGTGAAGTGAAGCCTCTCACAAAGTTACAATGCAGTCATGCAAATTGAACAAATGTTTAGCTGCAATGACGGGCCTCATCCACCTCCTCCTTCATCAACTCCATCACCTCCTCCATCAACACTTCCACAAGAGGTAATGGTAAAGTCTATCGACTCTATACTAGACTTGGCTAGTCTCTAATCAAGGCAACTAAAAGCAAATCGATTTACTCTAAAATTAGACCAATGTTCGCCCCAAATTTGGCTAAATTCTTGATAAAAGCTCTACATTTTGTTAAACCAAAACCAGTTAAGATTTTCAAGATTGAAACTGATCTGTTGAAGCTTTAAAGATTGTTTAAAGCTTTTTTTGATAAATTTTTAAAACTCAAGTCTACTGAGGACTTTGTTAAATGTTTACAGCACAAATCCACTGAAAACTTTCAGGAAGATTTTCAAGAAGAAGAGCTTGAAGAAAGCGTTTTCGTCGCATCATCCCCAAAAAACTCTCTCATTTCCTCATTTCTCATCATTTTTCTTGTCTACTTTTGTTAAGTTTTATATTTTTTAAGTGTAAAAAGCTGTATTACTTTAAAAATTTGCTTTTTTGAGCTTTTTTCTCAAAATTTTGATGTCTTTCAAATCAAATTTAGTTTAATTTTTTGACTAAAGTTAAATGAATGTAAATTTATTTCTTTTAAATGTAAAGAAAAGATAAAATTTGTTTTCTTGAAGAATAATGAATGGTTTTATGGCTTTAATCATCAAATATATACCGTAAATACTGTAATAGTACCCCACCGCCATAATGACGGTGCGGAGCGTTGCGTAGTCTAGCTTTGAACGAGTTTTTCTCGACACTGGTTTATGCTATTGGGTTGGGGAGAATGAGTCGGCTCCGAAAATGAAAAAAATGTCTAAAACTTCAATTCGACTTCGTCAAATAATATGCGTTTGATATGAGTAGAATGGTTAACTAATTCTCTACAAAATCACATTTAAAAGAAAATTCAAACAGCGCCTCCGCTCAAGAAAAAGCCATTTTTTCACAAAAACTACAAACTGTGATCTAGAAAAAACCATTGGTGGGATC